TGATGGTTGGACCAGGGTGCAGCTGCCTTAGCCACTTCCCTGCTTCAGCTGGCAAGGTTGACTTCCTGCAAGACATCCCTGAGGAGACGCCACATGGACCTACCCTGATGCAGCCCTGGGTGCTGGAGCAGCCGTGTGGAGACTCCTGCCAGCTCTGAGATGCGGACACATTTACTGACTCTGCTTTCCTCCTGCAGTTGGCGTCATACTGTGTGTTTTGTGAGATGGAGGAGGACTTTGTGGATTGCTGTCGGACATATGGGCTAATGTTGGACTTGTGGGCTTAGGCTGCACTGGATTGGGATGTTTTCTTGATGTGCTCTTACCCTTTATATAAAACTTTCTCTTGTACATATGGATTTCCGTGGATTTGTTCCTCTAATGTACCCAGACTAACACAGGTGGTCCAATAACTACTGTGTCTTTGTCTCTCTCAGTCACCACAGGAGCCATGCTGGGGATTAACGGAGCGATGGAACTGCTTTTCAAGGTCATCTCTCCTTATACCCGAAAGCGCACTAGAATAATCAGGTACAGAGCACCTTCATGTTGCTTTTTCTATCTTTGTAATAGATGTAGAAATGGAGACGGTTCCATATATCCTCACAATGCTTCAAGTTCTGTGTAGTGCTGGTATGTCCATTGGGAACATGCCACAACGACATTATCTCCTCTCCCCTTCCATCCCTTCTCATCCAAGTGCAATGCTTATGGTCCTTAGACGATTGTTGCTGTTAGGTGCCATGAAGTCCGTTCCAATTCATAGACAACAGAGCAAAACACTCCCTGCCTGCTCCTGTGCCATCCTCACAATTGCTGTACTTGAGCCCACCACTGCAGCCACTGTTTCAACCCATCTCCTGTTTTCAATGACTCTACTCTACCCTCTCCTGTTTATAAAAACCAGTTTTATTGGTATATAATTCACATATTTATGTGGGGGTGATTGTACAATTCTCCATGATATGATTGAATGATTGAACTATTGAATTATATGATATATAAATTACTTGCAAATAAAACTGCTGAAGAAAAGAGTTTTATAACTATCACTATGAAGTTTTAGAGCCCTTTTTCATTCATTTTTTAAAAAAAACATTTTATTAGGGGCTCATACAACTGTTATCGCAATCCATACACACATCAATTGTGTAAAGCGCATTTGTACATCATTCTCAAAACATTTTCTCTCCACTTAAACTCCTGACATTAGGTCCTCATTTTTCCCCTCCCTCCCCGCTTCCCCCTCCCTCATGAGCCCTTGATAGTTTATAAATGGGTATTTTATCATATCTTGCCTTGTCCGATGTCTCCCTTCACCCACTTTTTGGTTGTCTGTCCCCCAGGGAGGAGGTCACATATAGTTCCTTGTAATCAGTTCCCTCTTTCCTACCCATTCTCCCTTTACCCTCCCTGTTTCGCCACTCACACCACTGGTCCTGTAGGGCTCCACCAATCTCCCCTGCCATAACCCCAAGAAACCTTTAATGTAATTAATCTCTCTATAGATTTATCAATTTTGGATTTCATATACAGAAAACCATTAAAAACAAATAAACAAAAAACTACCAAGAATGACATTGTAAAATGGATTAAAAACCTCAACCTAAAAGAAATCAGAAAATATTAAAAACTAGAACAAATTTAAATGGACCATAAGTGAGTTCAAATGATAGAGTGCTAAATTTTAACCGTGTTGCATCTGCAACAATCCACTGTCCAATGCACTCTGCATGTTAGCGAGACTATTCACACACCTGGTCCACGGTCCAAGGGGGTTCACCAAGGACTTCATCCACCTGTATTTCCCTTCACTCTTTTTACAAAGCAGTTTTAAAATGGGTTTAAAGGGAGATCAAATGATAAGATGCTACATTTTGACTTAACTATGTCTACCATAATCGACTTTGCAATGATCTCTGTCTGATAAGACTGTACACATCCCTCAACCATGATTGGAGGGGAGTCACTGGACGTTTAATCTATGTGTGAACCCTGAAAATGTATTTTGGACTTCTACTGTCATCCAGAGCCTTCTGCAAACCAGGTGTTCACAATTTAAGCTCTGGTGTCATTCCCTCCTTTAGATTTGGATTATATTATTTCCAATTCTTGGATCACACAGGCTGGTGTGCTTCTTCCATATGGACTTAGTTGACACCAAACATATATGTCTGCTTGTTTGAAAACACGCCTTTCAAAACTCAGATGCTATTTTTTTTAATACTTTTATTGGGGGCTCTTACATCTTTTACCACAGTCCATACATTCCTCCAATGTGTCAAGCACATTTGCACATATGCCGCCAACATCATTTTCAAAACATTCTCTTCCCACTTGATCCCCTGATGTCAGATCCCCATTTCTTCCCTCTCCCTCTCCCCTCTCGCCCTCCCTCACGAACACTTGATAAGTTTTAGATTATTTTTTCCATATCTTACATCATCCTCCATCACCCCTCCCCCACTTTTCCATTATTTGTCCCCCTGGGAGGGGGTTCTAGATTGATCCTTGTGATTGATTCCTCCTTTCTCCCCCTACCCTCCAATCCTCCTGATATCTCTACTCTCTTGTTGGTCCTGAGGGGTTTATCTATCCTGGATTATTATTATTATTATACTGATATTATACTGAGGACTCTTATCTGTAGCAGTGTGCCTTCTCTGGTCTAATCCAATTTGTAAGGTAGAATTGAGATCATAATAGTGGGGTGAAGGAAGCACCAAAGAGCTAGAGGAAAGTTGTGTGTTTCATCGGTGCTATACTGCACCCTGACTGACTCATCTCCTTCCTGTGACCCTTCTGTGAGGAGATGTCCAGTTGTCTACAGATGGGCAATGGGTCTCCACTCCACACTGCCACCCCACCCCATTCAGCTTGGTATGGTTTGATTCTGGGTCTTAGATGACTGATACCCGATCCCATCGACTTCTCATGATCACACAGGCTGGTGTGCTTCTTCCATGTGGGCTTTTTTGCTTCTCAGCTAGATGACCGCTAGTTTATCTTCAAACCTTTAAGACCCCAGATGCTATATCTTTGGATATTCTGGCACCATCAGCTTTCTTCACCACATTTGCTTATGCACCCATTTTGTCTTCAGCAATCATGTCAGGAAGGTGAGCATCACAGAATACTGGATTGTTAGAACAAAGTCTTCTTGTGTTAAGAGAGTACTTGAGTTGAGGCCCAATGTCCATTTGTAACCTTATTTCTTAACATATACATTTGAGTGCATAGTTCTATTCCCCTCTCAATATATACATATATTTACATATATACATGCCTATAATTTAGGTCTCTATAAATGTCTTTTCCCTCCTGGTTGTTTCTTCTATTTCCTTTTTATTTCCCTCTTGTCTCAGTATCATGTTCAGCCTTCATTCAGGTTTAGTAATTCCTCGCTGCTACATTACCCTTGATTGATCCCCACCAGCCATTCTACGACCTTCCTTCTATTGATTTTAGTTCACTTTTTGTTCCCTTGTACTTGGGTTGCCCCCGCCCCCACCTCCCCGGCACTGCTTTTTTCTTCCACCTCCCCTCCTCCAGTATCCCCCTAGAACCATTGGTCCCGTTCTTTTCATCTCCAAATTATCTATCCCGCCTATCTTATCTAGATAAATGTGCAGATACATAAATAAGTGCAAAAATCACGCAAAGCCAAATAAAACAACAAAGGAAGTCAAAAGCAACAAAACAATAACAACAACAGCAGAAAGCAAAAACAAAATAACAATAGCAAAAAGAAAGCCACTGACAAAAATGGAAAACCTACAAATAGTTAAGGTCTGTTTGTTGGCCTTAACAAGTGTTTTACAGTCGAGTCTGATGGGGTGCCACACTCTGTTCCAAAGTCTATTTTTGGTATTCCCCGGGGGTTCATCAGTCTGCTCCTCCTGCTGCTCTGCTGCATGCCCTCACTGATTCGCCCCAGCATGATGGGGCCAGACCATGCACTATTCCCACACTGTGTCTCCAGTGCTGCCCCCCACAGCTCCATGGTTCAGTGAGGGATGCCATGTCCCGTGGTGGGGCCAACCTTACGGACCTCCCCATGCATTGTCTGCTCTGAGCAGGAACATCATCCTCAGGACTTGGTGGGCCAGGATGTCCTCTCCTCCCTCTCATCCCTTTGCGTTTCTCCTGTGTGCTCTAATCTGATGCGCCCTTCTCCCCAAGCTGTAGCCCCAGTGATGTCCTCTGAAGTGAATTCTTCAGGGAGCGGGGTGGGGGTGGGGGCGGTTTCCCACATAGTTGGGATTGGGACCAGCCCGCAGACCTCTCTATTGGTTCCCTGATACATGCTGGTATGTTGTATTCATGTCTTAGCACATTGAGTTGAAGCCTAGTCTCTCTCTTCTTCTCCTGTGGAGATAAAAACAATACCGTCCCCTTGGGTGGGTTAGTGCCCTGCTCCCCACCTACCCATGTATTTTTTTTCTTTCTTTCCCCCTCTTATTTAGTTGGCTGCTGTATGTATCCCTGGATTGTGTTTAGCCCCTGCCATAGATGTTGGACCTCATCCCCAGGGATGTATATATAGAGTAACTTTTCCCCCATGTCCGTTTTTGTTTTGTTTTGTTTTTTAAGCTTACCTCAGTGGATTCATGTTGTACTCTGTGCTTGGCTTATTTCACTTAGCATGATTTCCTCCAGTTCTTCCCATGTGGTAATATGCTTCCTGCATTCATCAATGCATTTTAGGGATGTGTAGTACTCCATTGTATGTATGTACCACAGGTTTTTTTTAATAATCATTTTATTAGGGGCTCATACAACTCTTCACAATACATACATACATCATTTATGTCCAGCACATTAGTACATATATTGCCATCATCATTCTCACAACACCTGCTTTCTACTTGAGCCCTTGGTGTCACCTCTTCATTTTCCCCCCTCTCTCTCCGCTCCCCCCTCCCCCTGAACCCTTGATAACTTATAAATTATTACTATTTTATCATTTCTTACACCATCCAACGTCTCCCTCACCCACTTCTCCACTGTCCGTCCCCCAGGGAGGAGGTTATATGTAGACCTTGTCATCTGTT